GGTCCCCTTTTTGGCCGTTGGTTTTCACTCATGAACAGGTAACAGCTCAGAAAGCGGACGTATGAACGAGTTCACCGCAACGCGTTTGGTGGCACCATGCCAAACCACGCTCCAATCGAGTTGCTCCAGTTGTGCCGCTGCTGGCAACGCAGCTCGTCCAAATCACCAACTAAACTAGTGGGCGGATCGCTTTTGGGGGCGGAGTGCTTTCGAAGTCCTGCTCAGCAACCAGCGCACCTTTCGTCGTGAAAGCGCCACACTCGCTTCCTTGGCAGCCAAGTAACTGCTTCGTGTGGTGCATATGCTTCCCCGATGCGCTTCCTCCTTATCGTAATCGCTGCCTTTGAAGAGTTTGAACGGCAGGACCATGTGCGACAGCAGGGTGAACATGTGTGGAGTAAATATGGCAGCCACTACGACCGCTTTCCACCTCAGGTTTCGTCACTAGGGTCCCACGCCTTCTAAGTACGACTCCCATACCACAGTAACCCACTGGTTGTTGGTACTTCGGTTCAACCACAAAAGCCCGTCGGGCGAGATGGTGGGGAGATACAATCTCCACCCAACCTCTTTCTAAAATCCTCCATACCAGATACGCCTTCCAATGCGAAGTACTACGACCGACGTCACACTCGGCGACGTCGGTCTACTCGTCGAAAAATCCTCAACAAAAGTGTATATAAAAGGTTATGCTCACTGGAGGACTTTTTCAACTGGAGTCTTAGGTTTGAATAGCAAATCCAACTTTCATTTTGGCTTCGTGGATCTGAAAATCATGCAAAGAAGTTGTGCAATATTTGGGAATAAATTCTGTTATAAAATCAAGAGAAGAGGTTGACATTTCAAACTTCCAAAAATACCTTGTCGATCACTGATGATACCTCTGCATCACCACCTTTTTCGTGAGCGGCTTCCCAGTGGAAACAGAATTGACTAGCTCCTGCCGCGGCCATTGGAGTCACCCAACGGCCAGGATCGGCCACCTAAATACAATGCCGTGTATGGATCCAAAAATAACACTTTCGGAACTAAACTAATAGCGATCTGGAGTTAATTTGGCTAGGGGGGGGCAGTCGCCGCCGCGGCCCATGGCATGTTCGCGACATAGTGGAAACTCGAACATTCCAGCTTTTCACGCATGTCAAGTGACTGCACTCACCCCTAGACTGGCTACACTCCCCCTGGCTCACGGATTTCCTGCTGCATCTGACCAGCTGAAGTGTACGTTGGGGCGAACCATGCGACGGCTAACGGCGCGACTGCCCCCACACCCTTCTCTCGGAGTCTCAATTCATGCGCTGCGATCTGCACTATTGCTGAGTCTCCAGAATATCATCATGAAAAGAAAAATGAAGGTATGAAGAATGAAGATGAGCGACGAAATCGTTCACCAACCATGAGATGATGAACATCAAAAAATGGTTCAGGTCCGAGATTCTTCCGCAATGATTCCACAAGTGGATGGCCGAATGTCAAGTTTGGAACAAAGTGACCATCCATCACATCCAAGTGTAACCAATCAGCACCTATACACGGTTTTATATAGAAATAATAAAACATTTGGGTGCTCTTATAGTTGGGGAGGGAGGACCACGTGGCAGCGCGGCCCTGTTCGTGTGCTGGTCCCCCAGGGGCACGTTATTTACTTCTGCACATCGAGGGGCAGTTTCGAAATACGACGCGAACGGGGGACTAAGCTTTGCAGGAGCTTCGAGCAAGAGCACACGTGCCGCCGCCGGTCCGCCCAATCAAGGAATGCACCAACATTTTGTATGGTTTTCAGTAAGGCACTGCAGATGAAAATACGTATAAATTATAAAAAAATAAAGATTGTAGCTATAGCGGAACTTACAGGAACCTGCCGCACGCCATGACTTTCCCACCACACCCGTAGTTCGCCCGATTTGTGGTGCGCATGCAGCCCATAAAATTGGCGAGGTCTAGCATTTCATCAATCGAACGGGCAACACTCGCTGGTCGAGTGCCATAGCCTATTCTAGCCCCAGCCCTGATTATATGTATGGTCATGAATCTCAAGTTTCATTTTTCGCTCGAAACTTGCCTATTGGGGGTAATTCGATCAGTTTCAAAGCTGCGCCTCGAACATAGTCGTTGAGTTGAAAATGAACAACAGATATTACCTTCGGACACCAAAGCTTGAACGAAATACTCGATACTTTTTTTCTGCGTACTCTACCTATGAAATCACCTCACAACGGAAAAATGAATTATTTGATACTCAAAAAATTTTCCATAAAATTGCTCAAGCGTACATTTATATGCTACTACTAGCTCAAGAATTCGAATTCAAGTGCCTGTTCATGAGGTAAGACTGACCCCCAAACCCAAATGAACACCCACACTAACCTCGCTACTGGAAGCGTTTCGGTCACCCATCACATTTTACCTCATGAAGGGTCATTCACGTTCCCCGTTAAGCTGCCGTACTCTCCAAGGTTTTTTTGTGTAGACAACGCAAGATATATTCCCGGGAAAGGTAATACGCTGTCACAATAAGAAACTCAACGCGAGATTGAGGTTTTCGTTGAAACCTGGCATTTTGCATCCCAACGGTAATCCTGGTGAATGATAAGATTTACATGTATGAAGAAAACCAGTAGACAAGACGTCATCGTAAAATTCTTGAACATGCCCCCACCGCAATTCGCAGAGAACTACAGCAGCAGAGGCGTAAAATATAATATATTCATGTACAAGCCATCCAGACGAAAGGTGCTGCTCTAACTTAACCTGCCTACGAAACAATTCACTGCTTCTCACGTCATCAAATTCCTCCAGCCCTCACTGGTTATTGTGGCTTTTCAAATGGATGCCATTTGGAAAATCCTTGACCATACATAACGATAAATCCATAAGACATCGTTATAAGATCTTGAAAGCCGTGCCCCAAGATCGAATCATGGTGGTTCTTGCACACGAATAGAAATGCGCCGGTAGTAAAGAAGAAAGGAAACGATTCCGTCGAAAACGCCTAAGTTGAGGGCTAACTCACCTTCGTGATCGGCTTTGCTGAGCCTAAGAAGTAGATACTTCTCGGTAGGGATAATACATACGAGACTAAGCGCGGAGAGGAGAGCATGAGGCGGGAGAGCGCAACAGACGAGACACACCGGACTACAACTTGATAAAAGGAAAAGATGCAGCTGCAGCAATACTAACAGGACGCAGAATGTTGCCCTGGTAAGAAGATCACAAGAGATCTCTAAAAAAGCGGGAATGACGCAACCAATTGGTTAAAACACTGCTTGAATGATACCCTTACCTATTCTGTTCGAAAAATTGATGAACCGCGATTTCACTTTACAGGAATAGACACCTTCAGAGGCCGAAATTTGGGATCAACCAGATAAGCAAATCATAACACATCTTTTTTGAAAATCTTATCACTCATCAGAACATTCATCGACTAAACAAATCATGTACGAAAAAGTGTCACATATGAATGAGGAAGCCCGCACAGGGCCCTCCTCCATACCATGAACTGTATCACAGGCGACTGAAGAACCAAAACCACAAAAAGATAAGGAATACTTTCGAAATATAAACGACAAATGATATAAACGACACTGCTATAGACAAAGCCATATAACCACCCTAACCAGCGGATAATAAACGAACCCACGGTTCATTTGAGCCAAATTATGAGGATAAACTAGAAAAGATATACCGTCACCTTTCGTAGTGACGAAGGAAAAATAACCATTCAAAAGAAACACATTTACAGAGATAATCAACATCGGAGAAGCCAGGCTGAGAAAATTCTGAAAAGCTACCTCCGACGTAAGAAGGCAACAATAAATAGGCATAGGTTTGCACGAGAATGATTAGAAATCTGCTAGGTAAACACCATAATTTACAAAAACACACTGGTACCACCCAGAGAAACATAGAAATAGAAATAACAGAGGCATATAGGAGCTTTCTCGGTCGCTGTCTTTAATATTCAAAAACTTTGATCATCTCTTCAGCAAAAAACTGAGGGGGATAAAATCGTTTCTTATCTTTCGTAAATCATTTATATTCATTATTGTGAGAACGAGCTCTACTCAAACGTGAACATTACGCACAAAAGGTATGAAAGG